TCAGGAAGACTCCCATCACTCACCACATTGACTTACCAGGTGCAACACATTGACTTTCAAAGGTATTGTGTCAGACGTAATTTTGCAATATGAAAACATCTTATATCTCCTAGTATCAGAAATATGTGGATACTGGAGGAGAAACTAGGTTTGAAATGTACAGAACCAGCACTAGTCTGTGGAAGATTCTTCCAGTCATTATACTTGTAAAATTCTAATCAGATTTTTATTTGCTTCAATGTCTAGAAAAAAGAGAAGTCCTCTCCTGTCAGGAATATGCTCACTGAAGCATCAAATACAATTATATTTATTTGTTTATATTATATTTGTTTGTTTGTTTTAATGGAAATTGTGCACAAGAGGAGTTATCAGAATCACTTTTTTTAGGATACTGACTTATAGCAGCATTACAATCTTTACCTATGACTGTATGTGAAGTCTCATGTTTTATGTAATAGGGACCATTTGTTAGCATATTTAACACATTTTGTCTTGATGAAGTCTAGCAGTTGCATTTAAAATGATGTGTAAAATTGACACCAATGCAGCAAAACAGCCTGAAGAAATATGTTCCAGTGATAAAATTTCTACACCTTTGTTAATAATTCAAACTATGTAGTACAAGAGTGATTTGTTAGATCAAAGAAAGGTCAATGCAACATAGAGATAATTTAAATATGCATTTGAAGTGCTCTTGGGTAGGCCTTAATTTCAAATTAATTTTGTATATTTTTTGAGGATTATTTTTTTTTTTTTTTTTTTTTTTTTTTTTTGAGGGAAGTCTGTCTCAAAAAAAAAAAAAAGTAAAAAAAGAAAAAATTAAAAAAGTTTAAAAGTTTATAAAGTAAAAAATTTACTATATGCTAAGGTTAATTTATTATTGAAGAAAGAAAATAGTAAAAAAATTTAGTGTAGCCTAAGTGTACAGTGTTTATAAAGTCCACCGAAATATACAGTAATGTCGTAGGCTTTCACATTTTACTCACCACTCACTCTCTGACTCACTTCAAGCAACTTCCAGTCCTGGAAGCTGCATTCATGGTAAGTGTCCTAAAGAGGTATACAATATTTTATCTTTAGTGCTGTATTTTTACTGTATCTTTTCTATGTTTAGATACATAAATACTTATCACTTAGTATGTACAACATTCAGTACAGTAACATTCTGTGCAAATTTGTAGCGTAGGAGCAAGAGGCTATACCATGTAGACTAGGTATGCAGTAGGGCATACCATCGGGGTTTGTGTAAGTACACTCCATGACATTCGCACAATGATGAAATCGCCTAATGATGCATTTCTCAGAATCCTCAGAAATAATCCTTTGTCAAGCAATGCATGAGTGTAAGGAAATACTAAGTTGTGGGTCTGGGATATGTATATAGGACTCTAGCAATGGCTTCATGAGGAGTGTGCATCTCCCTCATTAAACTGTGAGTTCCTTTAAGAGAGATTGTGTTTTTTTAAAAAAATTAATTAGGTAATTATTATTTTATTCTTTTTTTAAGTTTCAGAATATTATGGGGATACAAACATTTTGGTTACGAGATTGTGTCTTTTAACTCAACTGGCCTAAAATTCTAGAATAAAGTCCTCATAGCATGTGTGTTGGATGAGTGAACTCTCTTGAAAGTTGCCCAGTTAGAAGCCTTTTAGACCACAACTCCCAGAATGCCACGCGCTCCAGGAGTAAGGCGAGAAGGCCCCAGAGCCCATCGTGCCAGACCAAGACTACAATTCCCACTATTCACAGGGGCTCCGGAAACCTTGTCAGACACCACCTGTTGCCATAGCATCCGGGTCCGGGCCAACCAATGCGAGCGCCCTCGCTTAATAAAGGCGGGCAGTTTGCATCTCCGACCAACCCGAGGTGTCCTTGCTGTGGTGCGTGACCGGAGGAGGCGGGAGCTCGAGACCGGCGCGTTCTCCTTGCATCTGGGGTCGTGGCCTTGCCCCTGCTGTGCAGGGAGATAATCCCGGCGCCTGCACGCGCGTGTTCGCGCGGGGGCTCTGAGGCGCTCGTAGGTCCGCACTAGGTGTCTGCGGGGGCAGGAGCGGGAGCCATGGGCGGGACCGCGAGCACCCGTCGGGTCACCTTTGAGGCGGACGAGAATGAGAACATCACCGTGGTGAAGGGCATCCGGGTGAGTGCCAGTGGGCGGACGGGGTGCCAGTACTCAGACTCGGACCCCAAGCCCCCGACCTTCCCGGGACCCGCGCAGCATGGTTTCTCCTGTACGGCCCTCAGGCCCTCAGTGTTCGGCCAGAAGGCCAGGTCTCTGGAAGGAAGCCCAGAGTTTCAAGACTTGGGACATTGATTCAGACATAGTTCCTGGTTGTGTGCCAACTGCCAGGCACTGTTCTAGGGCGGGTGAGAGATGCCAGATTGAATTAGACCTTCCAGGGGCTCCGAGTCTACTCCTAACTGTGCTGTTCACCAGTTGCAGGACTTTGTCAGAACCCCTGTCTCACTGTACCTATCTGTGAAATGGGTCTTGTTTTACTCCTGGCTTCAGAACCCAGACTCTACTTTTTCACTGCCCACATGATCTCTGTTAGGATGAATTGGCTTTTTAAGGAATGCTTTTATTTGCTCTCTGTCATTTAGTGTTCTCCCTCTGATATACCAGCCCTCCCCATCCCCAGCCCTACAATGTTTTTTGGTCTACCTGGGGTGGCTTCTGGCTTCTCCCTCCTTCACTTTCACTTGTTATCTCCTCTTTCCCAGGCTCCTCCTCTGTGGCCTACTGCACCCAAGTTTTGCACTAGGCCCAGTTGCTTCAGGACTAGTGTCTGCCAGTCTGATAGAGGCTGAGATAGAGGCTGAGATAGGTTTGCAATTTTTCGGACCAGTAGAAATATAGTCATTTCTGACCAACGCCCTAGAGAACTTTTTTACACCTTCTGCATGTGCTGATACATAAACTGAAAACTTGGTTTTTCTCTAGGGTGTCAGTATACCAGCACTACATTAACACAGTCTCCGCTGCACCTGAATTTGGAGCCTCACATTTTTGGAAGTATGATGCCTGAAACTAGTAAATAAAACCATTTTGACTTTAGAAAGTTTTATAATACTTTATATTTTTTCTTCCCTTGTAATTATACAGTCAGCATAAATAAGCTAAATTTGTAAATTACTTTTAACATTTGTTATTAGGGAACGAAACTTTTTAACTCCTTAACGTGTTTAAAAACGTTTTCCTCTGAAATTGTTACCTTGAGAAGAATTTATTAAAGTTTTCTTTATAGAAACTTAGACTGTTGAATTCAGTTTTTGGTCTGTGACCAGCATTTCTTTATAGCATATTAATTAACAGTCATATTACATTTTGTAATAAAATATCTGAGGCTGCATTCTTTGTGTTATTGTGGTTTAATTGATCCGCTCTGGCGTAAAATAAAAATTACTGTAAACTTTGAGTTTTATGCAGAGATTTAAAAAATTTTGCCTTTAGGCCTTGGGTGTACCACATTAGAGAGTGAAAAGGAATTTTATAAAAAGCAAAATAAATTTAGGGTGAGAAGACATTGGTTAGAAAAATGCATAAATACATGTTATCATAGTCTAGTACAGACAGTGATGATAGCAAACAAAAGAGAATTTGGCCACAGCTCAAAGATGCATATCAAATATTAATGTTGAATAGGATAAGTATGACAATAGGAATATGGAAATGTATTCCATTAAAATGGAAAGATTATCCAAAAAACCTTTTTAAAGAATGTCTTTAAGAAAGAAAGTATGCCCTTATACCACATAACTTGAGAGAACTATTCTTCATTTTTCTTCTTTTTCATATAGTGCATTTTATCTGTATTGTTACAAATCAAGCACACACCATGCTCATTTTGACCTCTATGCTTTTCTTCAGAATATACCCTTCACCTAGAATGCCCTTGCAGTGTTGCCTCAAGTCCTTTTCAAGGATGATTTGCAATCCCTGAGCTTCAGTTTTCCCATCTGCAAATAACGGAGCTGAGTACTTCTCTCAGATCTCTGATCTTTTCCAGTTCTGAAATCCTGTGAGACTAGTGGCACTGTAAGTTTCTTGTAAGCCATTGCAGTTTCCTCCAAAAGTGGCATGCTGTTGACTTGTTGAGTACACAGAAGTCATTCTCATTTCTTTGAGGTCATGGTCAAAGGAATCAACTTGGAATTAAACAGACGTCAGTTTAAATCCCAGGTTGGATATTAGTCTGTGGTCTTCCTTGATTGCCTCTGATTTTTTGTCTAGGTCTTTGGTAGATGTTTTTCAGTTGATTTTAATATTTTTCTTGGCTTGAATTAAACAGACTTCAGTTTAAATCTTAGGTTAGGTGTTTATTAGTTTGTGGCTTTGGACAAGTCACTTCTCTGATAATATGTCCTTATTAATAAAGGGTAGTAATACCATCGCTTCCCTTGATTGGTTGTGGCAAGAAGATGAGGTAAGGTATTTAAAGCACCTGGCACATTGGAGATTTTCAATAAAAGGCAGCCATTATATTATGATAGAGTGCCTTTCATATCTAAAATTCCAGGATTCTTTGAAAGTGTTGTGCAGTGTAGTGGAAAAAGCATGTGTTTTGGAACCAAGCAGACCTGGATTTGGAATCTAACTCTGCCTCTCACTAACTGTATGGCTCTGGACAAGTCACTTTTGATTGTGTTTTTCCTTATTCAGTATATCTGGAAGGTGCAACCTACTTGTGAGAATTTGGCTTTAAGTAACCATCTAGCACACTGCCTAGTACTTTGACAGAGTTTGCACTTGTGAGTAGTAGCAGTTATTACAGCTGTTCAAGAGAATGAATACATAAACTTGTATGAACTTAACATAATTAGATAAAAAGAAGAGCCTGTTATGTCCCCACAGGTGTACCTAAAGGGTTATGGATTGGAAGATGGGAGTCCTGGGTTCTACCCTAATTGCCTGGTGGTTTTTATTTTTTTGTCTAGGTCTTTTGTAGAATTTTTTAGTTAATTTTTTAATTTTTCTTGGCTTGAAACAGTCATCTTGTTTCCTTCTGAGGCATGCAGAAGTATAAGGAACAACATTCTCAGTAAGTGTTTAAGGTCAGGTGTTTAAAACATGGTGCTAATAAGGTCCAAACTTCAGTTATGAACTGTAGATAGGCTAGTTGAATTTGGCTGAAGAAACCTTTGCAACTTTGCTCAATTGTCTAACATTATGCCAACAGTTGTAAAAAATGAAAATGTACCAATGTTTTAGTGAAGTCAAACATTGCTGGAAAACCAGTTTTGTGTTCTGTTCTATGATAAGGATGGTACAGATGGTGCCCTTACGATGGGATTTATGATGGTTCAATTTACAATTTTTCAACTAATTTACAATTGTGCAAAAAACTATATGCATTCAGTATGCTCCTCAACTTAAGATGAGATTATGTCTGGATAAACGCATCAACCCCATCATAAATTGAGGAGCATCTGTAGTTTCATCTCCACATATCTTAACATATAAACAATAACATTTAGTGAGCAACATAAGGCTTTCAGTAACTAGTCTGAATTTATTAATAGATCATATTTTTCTGTATTTTTCTTGAGGTCCTTAACAGCTAGTAACTAAGGGACCTACTTATTTTAAGTTTAAAGTTTCTTCTCACCTACCAAATGTTATTTTCATGATATTTTTAGGGTCTTGTTTTTTTCCTTTATCTGTAGCAATTGATAGCTTTTCTGCCTTCTTCCATAAAATAACCTGTACTGTTATACCTGATTCCAACTTTGAGTCTGAAACTACTCATATGGGTTGCATGAAAGGTCACCCTCTTGCCTTGCCCTCCTCTCCAGGCCTAAAATAAATTTCTAGTGAAAGAAAGACCGAGCATTTTCATTACTGATATTACATGCGCTTGATAGGATTTTTGTGAGCATCTGCTGTGCCTGCTTGGAAAGTGTGCTTACGACTCAATCTTTTGCAAGTTTATCTGAAACGTCAAAGCAGTGAGTGAACTCTTCTAGAGCAAATGTCAACTTCAGTGAGTATCATGTTCAAAGTAATGTTTATCATGCTTTCCAGGCATACATGAATCTCTGCAGCTGGCCTTGAAGTTGCAAGCTAAAATTTACAGGAGCCAGTTATGGCAGTATGGATGCTTACATGGAACACAGCTCATGCTTTGGGAAGTGTTGGCAGTTGAGGGACCCTAAATGAAGAGGTTACTTAATGTGACATGTTATTGAGGTTTCTGGAGAGAGTAGGTTAGCAGAGGCTACAAATTGTGTCAGCCATTGGGAATGTTGATGAATGTCCAAGTGATTCAGTTAACTAGTCTGATAATTGATCTCTTTCAACTTTAGATTCCATGGATCTCTTGGGCGGAGTACTATTAAATATCTGAAGCTTTCTAAGATTTTATAAAGACAGAAGTTAATGGTTTCAACTAATGACAAATGCAAAGAAACACAAGTGACAAATACAAACATAAACTAAGAATTACATGTTTTATATGTATCAATGTGTGTATGGCACTTTCCCTTTTCTCCATGCCCTTAAGTAAGTATTTAGGAGTAATTTCGCCCAAATAATGCAGTTTTTGGAGTCTAAGTCTTAAAAAGGTAGTTGAAAAGCAAATCAGTACTCACACAGAAAGTGACTTATGCTATGTGGAAAGAAGACCAAGAGAGAAAAATGGGTCTGAGTTCCTTAATCAATTTGATAAGACACATCTGGAAGAAGATAAGTATTATGGGAATGGGGGGTTCTGATTTATTTCTGTCTCATATGGTTCCTAACTTCTTAGAGAAGGATCACTTAAGAGTTCCCCTCCTTTTACTGTATTCTTTGGGGTTAGAAATACTTTATCCAACTCACCCAGTCTCCTGTTTCTGAGAAAATACTGGCTTCTGGATTGGTAAGTGGTGTGTTTGTACTAATTTTGGGTAAGACCAAACAAGGTGGATAGGAAGAGATGAGTGGGGAGACTGTAGAAGATGACACACATCTTTTCCTCTCTCTGGAATGCATTGGTGTGGTGAATAGTACAAATTTACACTTAGCAAGCTCCATTGGATTAAATTTGTCTTTAGGAGCAATAGAGAATAGGGTGGATAGTCAAGGTGAGGCAACTGAATGTCACCAGGTCTGCTTCTCTTGATTGCCTTTTATATTAGAACAGTGGTTCTTAACATCTT